TAATATAATATAATGTAATATAATAATATACAATATAATATATATATATATATGTTATATAATATATAATATATATATATATATATGTATATATGTGTATATTTATATATATAAATATATTATATATACATATCTCTCTCTCTCTCTATATATATATATATAATGAGGTACCAATGGCACGTCTCACAACCCCGAGCCCACGAACGTAGCCAGCTTGGCACTCAGAACCAGAGTGGAGTTGCTACTTGGTTGGCCAGTACTCCAGTGCAATACATCCTGGTCCCTGGCAGAAAGCCGAGACCCTGGTTCAACACTCTGAGCAATGCTAGCTGCTAGCTGCACGAAGCATGGCTTAACGAAGCATCAGTAATTCCAATGATGCTGATGATGACGCTGACTGATCACTGAAGGACAGAAGCATTAATAATGGTGATGCTTGTAGAGACGGCGGCAGAGGGGGGACGATGGCAACCTAGGCTTGGGCATTACGGGTTCAGGGTTTTGGGGGGTTCGGGGTCAGAGGTGTGGAGCCGATCTTCTGGCGTGTTAGGTTGTCGGCTTTGAGATCCAGTCTCCGCTTATCCACTCATAGTGCTTTTTGGTACCCCTTTGTGGTACCTTTCTACAGGAACCCTTGTGGTACCCCTCATTGTACCCCTTATAGTACCTCATAGTACTCTTTATAATACCATTGTCCCTCACAGCACGCTAGGGTGCCCCTTCTTGCACCCCTTTCAGCTGTATAGCATCTTTTAAACGACGGCATATTTCCGAGTCCCGAAACGCTAAACCCCAAACCCCAAACCCTAAAGGCCCTAAGCGGCCCTCAAGACCCGGGTAAGTACTGAAGCATCTTTTTTGGCAGTTTTCAAAAGTGGCCGCAGCCCGGGGAGGCGACGTCGCTTCGAAGCTCTGGTCCTCGGCCCAGCGAGGTGCCTCACATGGTGGTCTCGGAGGCCAGGCTGAAACATTGACTTCAGGGGTTCAGGCTTAAAAGAGGGGTTGAGAGGTTTAGGATTTTTGGGGGT